AGACAGGCAACTGAAACTGGGTGACATGTTCCCATGTAGGAGCAGAGTTTAAGAAGAAAGAGTGCCTCCATTTCGCTAATGATGTCAGGGAAGAACAGGAAGTAGTGGAGGCCAGAATAATATTTGCTGGTGTACCCTATCTGGCAGGATTATTTGTTGTTGTTTAGTGACTAACTTGTGTCTGACACCTTTGCAACACCACGAACCGTAGCCTGCCAGGCTCCGCTGTCCATGGGATTTTCCAGGCAAGAATATTGGAATGGGTAGCCATTCCTTTCTCCAGGGGACCTTCCCGACCCAGGAATTAAACCTGCATCTCCTGCATTGCAGGTGGATTCTTTACCACTGAGCCACCAAGCCTACTTAAATCCAATTTCTCCATAAGAATATGGAGCACAACCCTGAAAGCTGCTGCTACTTCTCCCCAAAGTTATGTAGTTAGGATCCTCAACTGCAAAGTTTATAATTAAAAGAGGGGAAAAAACTATACATAATACACAGACAGAAAAGCCTATGTGAATAAAATGAAAATTACACTGATTACACTATAAGCAAAAAAGAAAAGACAACTAAAGAACAGGGGAACAAATTTTAATGCTTACTCCCAAAGTAAGTATTTCTTCAGGAAAAAACAACTCCAATTAAAATCTCAAGGGAATTTTTCAAACTAAAAATCCAGTTCTAAAGTGAAATTAAAAGAAAAAACAAACAATAACATAAAATAGAAAATGTAAAAATTAGAGACTGGCACCATCACATATTAAAGCATATTTTATACATATATATATATAATCATTAAGACAGTATAGCACTACTGTAAAAACAGGCAGCTCAAGAAATAGAATAGGAAACCTAGAAATAAAGCCAGTAAATACAGAAATTTAAAATAGGTTTATGAGTCCTTATCTCCAATTCCAAAAATCTCTAAAAATCTCTGACAACCAAGCTTTTTTTTCCCCAAAAGCTAATTTGGAGGAAAAACTAGAAGCTAATTGATAAGAGGCTATTTGTAGCCTTTTAAAATCCCATGTAATAGGAGCACTCAGAAGTTTCATTAGAGAAATAGCAATGTGTTTGACTACAGGATGCAGCAGAGGTGTTATATACAATATGTGTTATATTCCATATACGTTTTTTTCTGAAGGATTGGGATAACATCAGAAATCTAGATGCATGAGAGTACAATGTTTCCTAACATGGACTTTCCTTTATGTCTCAAACAAAAATTTATCTGAATCTTAGTCTTTTTACACATAGAAACCTTTAAAGGCAATTTATGTTATTATTCAAGGAAGGGCTCCAAATTCTGTTATGTTTTCAAGGCTTCGTATGGAAGAAAGGAGGTCATTAATGGTTTCTAGTCTATTTTAACTGGATAAATATAAGTAGTTTCTACATATACACTGAGTGGATAAGCTTCATGGAAAGGCGGAGCTTAAAGGATAAGCTTCAAGGAAAGAGAGCATGGTTGCTTCAGAGAGATGCTCAAAGAGAAGGGTTAAGATGGCATCCAGAGCAAAGAGAGGCACTGGCCAAAGATGAAGGAGAAGGGCCTCCCCAGGCTGGAGTGGGCAAGAGAAGATACTCTTATGTGTGGGGCTTAGGGAGTTAGAGATCGCCCACAGAAAGAACAGGAACATGTCCTCTGCCAATTATCAGCTGAGAGGAGTGTGAGATTAAAGGACTAGGTAACTTAAGGAGAGTAATGAAAAGACTGAACTCATCACAGTGGGAAAAGAGTGTGTACTGAGTGGAGTGGGAGAGTGTTTTTAGAACCCCAGTACTATCAGAGACTAAAAAAGTCCTAAGAGAGTCTCGCACATTGGAGTTCACCTGGTCCCTAGTCCCCCATTATCAAAACCATTTAGAGCTATTTGCATTCTGCAGCCCTGTGTCCTCCTCTAGGCATGACAGGGCTAGAAGCTTGCCTGTCTCTGGACTGAGAACCACTTTGGCTCTGGCTACTGCTGCCACTCCCAAGGCAGTCAACTGATCCTGGCTCCCGAGGGCTCTTACTTGAAACATACCTCTCCAGGGCTCAGCTGGCACAAGATTGCCAACAAGTTGATGAGGAAGAGATATAAGTTAAACAAAATTGGCAGGCAATTTTCTCAGGACTTAGGGAGGAAAGGAGAGTAAAATGGTAAGGAAGAGTGGCAGATTCTCCTAGCTGAGACCAAAAGACTCAGAATCAACTGAAGGCCAGAGGACACATTAGCATTTATCCAGAAGTGACCTTGAGATGAGCTGCTTTGAGTTTGAACATGATTCCAAACCTAGCATTGACTGTGAAATAAGCCTGCTTTGTGCAGATCCAGTTGGAGCCCTCTGAAGAACGCCCCCACTGCAGCCTTGCAGGTAGTTGACAGCTTGGCTCAACTGCAGAGTACATTTTGGACCTAGGAAAGCCCTGCTCAGTGAAGAGGTAAGCCAGAGAAACACCTAAATGGTAGGCTCTTAACCAACAGCAGTTGTAAATTTCTTTTTAGAACAGGCAGCTGAACCTAGGATGGGGAAGATTATTGCTCAAAGTGGCAAAACTAAGTAGTAACTGTCCTGCATGTTTGATCTCTCTAAACCCACTTGCCCATATGGGAATTCCCTATTATATTTCTTTTTGTACCAGACGGCTGGACCATACATACCACTCCCCCAAAAAAACCAAAAAACAAAAAACTTTTTTGAGAAGGAGGATGGGTGGAGTAAAATAAGTATGAAGACCAAATAGGAAATTTTTCTCTATATACCTCCTTGCAAAGTTCTTCTGTGTCATTTGTTTTGAAAGTTATTTCATTAGCTAAATACTTTTTTCATTAAAAAAAAAAGCCCACTGAAAAAGCTACATCTGTATAAAACGGATAAATGAAGAGCTGTGGTGATAACACTAGTTGGGGGTGGAAGTGGGGAGTAGTTGGGGTTGGAAGTGGGGTGAGATGCACAAATTCAACTAGGTTTTCAGTGCCTGTGGTGCTTCAGTACTGGGACAGCATGTTTTGGCTCCAATGAGCCCAAAAACAACTCTGGAAAAATTTCACTAGAGGCTGGGATCCTGGGGATTTCGAAAGTTCATTGAGGTCTCCAGGTGAGATTAAAGTGTAAGCATAGTAGCTGTTGGAAGTGTGTAAAAGAATGAGAAGATTTTTATTAAGTAAATTTGCTGCTATTTATAAGAAAGAAGAAAACAAAAATGTTTTTGCATGAATAAATCTTAACCCTTCATGTCTATCATCATTTACTTGATGCATCAGTGCCAGGACTTCTTCAGATGCTTCAGGTAGAGAAACAGGGAAGGGAAACCAGAAGCGCCATCTCTACTACCCCACTCTCCCCACCCTCTGTAGAGTGCTGCTTTTAAACAGCCTGACTTGATCTTCACATTCACTCTGACTTTTCCTTAGATTTCTCTTGGAATTTTCCCTGGCCCAGAAACCCCCATCTTTGTTACAAGAGGTCATATCCCTGATGCCATATGTCTGGGAGCAGCAGGACATCCTGGTTAAGGAAAAAGTTCATACATGGTCGTTGGGTCAAACTCCCAAGGACACTTCACATTCCTGCCTGGGTTCCCAAGTTTCTTCTGGAGAAAGCATAATCTCCAAATTAGGGAATATTTTTCTCACAAGCAAAGTTTTGCAGTGTTGCAAAGTAGGAAAAACATGGGATTTGAAATTGGAGGACCTTGGACGTGGAGTCCCAACTCCATGACTTCGTAAAGTCTATGGCATATGTCACAACATTTCTGACCCACAGAAATGAAGTCAGTAATACCTATGTTACAAAGTTTTATAAGGATTAAATAAGATCAAGATTTTATTGTAGTGGTTAGCATAAATTATTCAATAAATGAATAATAGTCATTATCATGTGAGTAAATATGTGGTACATGGTGGTGGAAAGATGTGTGAAATGAGCTTTGTGGGAGAAGGGAAAGAAGAAGGGAAGTAAAATCTTCACTGACAGGTTTCAATATAAAATGCAGGTCATCAGGAGATGCAGGTACCCAAGCAGGAGAGAGAGACTGGAGAGAATAACTAATGACAAAGTCTAGAAATCTGGTTGAGGAGAGGGAGCCAGTAAACACTTTGCCTATTTAAACAACGCATTTTGTAAAAACACAATTTCACAGCATAAGGGAAATATTAATTAGGAAAAATATGCATAATCTTGACATACAACGGATCACAAATTTTCATTTACCATGAACCATTTCATTCTTATGCATTTGCAGAGGGTTTTTAAATGCTTATTAAACATTTAATAGATTGTAAAGATTTTGACCTCATTTTTATTCCCATTTTTCATTGGATAAGGTCATGTATTTAATAGGTTTCTGAGTCAGTGATCAGCCAAGGACCCTTTAACTCTGAGTTCAATACTTATTTCACTATCACAGCAAATGCTGTTGAACTTTAGGCCATTTGGAGAGTCAGAAGACTAAGGAAAATAGGGCCACTCGTATCATCCCCAAACCATACTAGCTCAACCTGAAACTCTTTAAATCCCCCAGTATTTACTGTCTATCTGTGAAGCACTAGAAGGAGAGTTTGTTGTGAAATCAGAAGCCCTGGCCTACTTCTGGCCCTAAGATATCTAGTTATTGTGGAAGTCATGTCACTGCTCTGTCCCATATTGCCCTCAGTCTGAAAATTTGAGGTCAGATTGCATGTCGGGGTTGACATACCAAACGAAATGTATTAGGAATTTAAGCTCCATTACTTTAAAAAGCAGCCTCCCACTAAAGGATTTCTCTGGGTGTCTGTCTACTTGTTGCAACTTATAGGGTCCAGCAGGTCTTGGGTGATATCAGATGATGAGGAAAGGCTGGGGATGGGCATGAGAGGATACAGATTATGAGGGCCTGTGATCTAGGCAGTCCAGAGAGATGGTAGAAAGCAGGGCTAAGATAGATTTTAGCTGAGAAAGCATTCATTCTCTTATTCAACAAGTGTTTATTCAGAGTCATCTGGCTGGGTTTACCGGGTTTACTGCATTTCTAGGACTGTGACACTTTTCTGATCCTCTTCTCTTACTCAAAAATTATGAACTTAATTTGAATTATTGACAATTAGGAATGCATCATGGGATGGAAGGGCAGAAACCAACAAAGATCCTTTCCTGTGTAAAATATAAATTCTAACAGGGACAGATAATCTTTAATGTATAAATCCATTATCTATATGTTAGAAGTGTTAAATATTATGGGATGTTCACCTTCACGGGAAGTACTTAGAGTCAGGAAAAGGAAAGTTGCAGTATTTAATAGGGTAATAGTATAGCCAGATATTTATTTACCCTCAAATTCACTTTCTGGCTTAAGCTAAAAAGTGGATCTTTTATAAATTAAAAATCCTATTTCCAGAGAATGACTCAGATCATTACCCCACTAAATAAGTAAATTTTTTTTTTTTTTAGAGATGGAACATCTAAGAAACCATGAAAAATCTTAGCATTATTGATGAATTTGTGCTGTTGGGGTTGTCAACTGACTCAGACATCCAGATCATGCTCTTTGTTTTCTTCTTGGGGATTTACCTCCTGACCCTGATGGGGAACATGATGATGATCCTGGTGATCAGGGCTGATCCTCACCTGCACACGCCCATGTACTTCTTCCTCAGACATTTGTCTTTCCTAGACATATGCCACTCTTCAATCACCATACCCAAGATGCTGCAGAATTTCCTGTCTCAGAGGAAAACCATTTCAGTGTGGGGATGCATTACCCAGAGTTTCTTTTTCATATTTTCTGGAGGCACTGAGGGCTGCTTGCTCTCTGCTATGGCCTATGACCGCTATGCTGCCGTCTGTCACCCTCTGCTCTACACTGTGATCATGAATGGACCTCTGTGCACCGCAATGGTCAGTGCAGCATGGCTGATGGGGTTTCTGAACTCACTAGTGAATAATCTTTGTGCCCAGAGCTTACAGTTCTGTGGTCCCAATATCATCTCCCACTTTCAGCTGTGAACTGCCTTCACTGTTCCCTCTCTCCTGCAGTGATACCACGCCTAACACCATCCTGCTAGCTGGGTCCACTGCATTTCTAGGACTCGTGACACTGCTCCTGATCCTCTTCTCTTACTCAAAAATCATTCTTGCTGTTCTGAGTATCTCCTCCTCTAAAGGCCGAGGCAAAGCCTTCTCCACTTGCTCCTGCCACCTCACCGTGGTGCTCTTGTTCTATGGGACAGCTCTATTCAGGTACATCAGCCCCTCTTCAGGATCAGTCCTGGAGCGAGTTGTCTCTGTACAGTATGGTGTGATCACATCCTTGGTAAACCCACTCATTTACAGCTTCAAGAACCAGGAGGTGAAGGCAGCTCTGCAGAGGATACTGAGGCAGCAAATATGTGTCTCAGGGTAAGAGATGGCAAGGGGACCTTTCTTCTACAAGAGAAGCAATCTGCAAAGGAAGAGAACTTTGTAAACTTAGAGCTGCTATGGAACTTGATTTTTAACTTAGCTAATTAGGTTTGTTTCTTATTCAAAGTGAAAAGACTTCCAAAAGCTGAGAGAAATATAGTCAGAGAAGTGTTTGACCCATCCTGCATCTGAGGGAAAAGGTTCAGAGACATCAGCTCCTTCCATAGCCTTTGGAAATTAATCCAGAACAGTGACTTCACTACAGTTTAGGAGGCAGGACAAGGACAAAGCTCCCTGAGCCCAGGACTTTATCTATGGAGTTACCAAAGGAACCCATTAGTAGAAGGGCAAAGAATGAGTTACCTAGACAGGTTTAATGTTCCAGAATGAACAGTTCATTACCTTTTGTTCACCGGACCTGGTGGCACCATAGGCATTACATGGCAATGTGGGCCTGCAAATCATCAAAGAAAAGTGAAAGCAAAGAATGAACATTACGTCTTTGAGCAAATAAATGGATAAAGAAAATGTGGTACAGTCTTACAGTGGAGTGTTATTTAGTTTATAAAAGAAGGAAAGTCTGCAATGTGTGATGACATAGATGAATGTTGAAGACATTGTGTTAAGTGAGAAAAGCAAGTCACAGAAAAGAAAAACTGCTTAATTCTATTGATAGGAGATATCTAAAGACGTTCACTTTGTAGAAGCAGAAAGTAGAATGGTGGTTTCCAGGGCCTGGGGAAAGGGGATTGGGAAACTCTTGTCCAATGGACATAGAGTATCAGTCATGCAAGATAAAAAAGGGATCCATTGCACTGCAATGTGCATATACTTAACAGTAGTACATACAGAAACTTAAGAGGGTAAAATCTATGTTGTGTGTTTTTTAGCACAATGAAAAATAAATTAGAATGAACATATCATTACACTAAACATCAGTCTTGCATTTTGCAACCTCTTGTCTGAAGACACACTTCATTTTAAAACATATCATCATATTTTATAAATATAATGATATGTTTTAAGTATGTTTTAAAATCATATTTTATACACACACACACGCACACCTATGGATACATACACATACACATATGGAAGCCAGACAAAACCATTAGAAGTAGCATAATGTAGTTTAAAACATTATGAGAGCATTATTTTTATTGGATGTAAATCAATGAAGTTAGAACACTCCCTAACACCTCACAAAAATAGACTCAAAATGGCTTAAAGACTTAAGTTATGACACCATGTGTGTGTGTTTGCTGATCAGTCATGTCCAATTTTTTGAGACCCCCACAGACTGTAGCCTGCCAGGCTCCTATACCATGGAATTATCCAGGCAAGAATACTGAAGTGGGTAGCCATTATCTTCTCCGGGATCTTCCCGACCCAGGGATCAAACTCAGGTCTCTTGCATTGCAGGCAGAATCTTTACCATCTGAACCACCCAGGACATGACACCAGAAAAGTTCCAAATGAGATCTTAGGCAAAACATTCTCTGACATACATCATATCATATTTTCTTAGGTCAGTCTCCCAAAACAAAAGAGTTAAAAGCAAAAGTAAATAAATGGGACCTAGTTAAACTTACAAGTTTTTGCATAGCAAAGGAAATCAGGAACAAACAGAAAGACAACCTATGGAGTAGGAAAAAATATTTGCTAATGATCAACCAGTAATAGTTTAACTTCCAAAATATATTACAAACAGCTCATACAACTTAATATAAAAATCCAACCCAATTAAAAAGTTAAAAGAAGTCCTAAATAGACATTTCTCCAAAGAAGACATATAGATGGCCAACAGGCACATGAAAAAATGCTCAACATTGCTAATGATAAGAGAAATGCAAATATAAACTTCACTGAGTATCACCTCACACCAGTTAATGGCCCTCATCAAGTAAGTTCTGGAGAGGGTGGAAAAAGGGAATCTTCCTACAGTGTGGATAGCAATGTAAACTGGTATGGCCACTAAGGAGAACAGTATGGAAGTTCCTTATAAAACTAAAATAAAGTTACCATATGATCCAGCAGTCCCACTCCTGGACATATATTTATCTGGAAAAGATGAAAATGCTAATTCAAAAAGATACATGCACCTCAGGGTTCATAGCAGCACTATTTACAATAGCTAAAACATGGAAGCAACCTAATGGTCCATCAGCAGATGAATAGATAAAGGAGAAGTAGTATACATAAACAATGGAATATGATTCAGCTGTTAAAGAAGAATGACATAAGGTAATTTGCAGAAACATGGATGCACTTGGAGGGCATAACATGTGAAATACATCAGACTGAGAAAGACAAATACTATATGGTATCACTGTATGTGAAATGTAAAACATATGACCTCTGACTATAACAGAAAAGCAGCAGGCTCACAGATATAGAGAACAAAATAGTGTTTACCAATGGGGAGAGAAAAGGGAGAGAGACAATATACCAGTAGGGGATTAAGAGGTACACACTATTAGGTAAACAGTCAGCTACAAAGATATAATGTACAACACAGGGAATATGGCAAATATTTTATAAGTGGAATATAACCTTTAATCAATGTGAATCACTATTATACACATGTAATTTATATATTATACTTTACATTTCAGTAAAACATTTACTAAAAGAATAAAATTAAAATTGAAAAAAGAAAAAAATGCTTTGACAATTCATTGTTAGTATGCTAGATATCAACATATAGCCCATATTTTATCAAGTTATACCTATCCATTTTTACTTTCAAAGTGAAAGTGAAGTGGAAGTCACTCAGTTGTGTCCGACTCTTTGCGACCCAATGGACTATACAGTTCATCGAATTCTCCAGGCCAGAATACTGGAGTGGGTGGCTATTCCCTTCTCCTGGGGATTTTCCCAACCCAGGGATTGAACCCAGGTCTCCCGTATTGCAGGCAGATTCTTTACTGCTGAGCCACCAGGGAAGCCCTACTTATAAAGGTATACTATCAAACTAATGTGAATATTGCAAAGTAGATTTTCATCACTTGTTGAGATTATTATATGTCTTATTGAATGAACTGTAAATTTTCATAACATTAAATGATTGTTACATTCATGAGAAAACACAGTCATGGATATATCTTTTCATATTCCATTAAATTATTTGTATTGGGGAAATGTTCAACATACATACGTATAATTAAAGGTGATTGTTATTTAGGTGTTAGTATGAAGACTGTGTTATCCCAATCATTGTATGCTGAAATCTTTTGTAATTTTGTTGACTTTCACTTCATATCACTTGCCCAAGATTTAAAAAAATATGTGTAAGTTTCCCACCATCATTTTGCCTTTGGCTATATTTCATGATGTTTCCATGTTTTTGCTGCCTTCATTTTGAAACTGGGTTTTGTACCCTTAAATGTCTTGATAGCTTTGTCTTCATTCTGGGTTATACCTATTATCTTTATAAAGTGTAGTTTTTTTAACTTTAATATTTTTTTCTTTAATTTCTACTTTTTGTGATGTTAATATATACACTTGTTTGGAGCTTCCAGGTTAGTGAATCATGGCATCTCTGAGAGGGCAAGGAAGCTCACATCAGTACCCATAGCCTTGCCAAAGCATATTTTACCATAAATGTCTTTCCACAAGCCACAAAGCTCTATCTACCTGTCAACACTGGGTGGAGGTGGGTGCCCTCTCCTATTATGCCTCAGCTGGCACCTTTGGCCACTTGCTCACAAGAAGTCTATCTTTATTTCTAAAATGATGGAGTGAAGAGTTGGAGACAAAATGGCAGAGTGGAAGGACTTGAGCTCACTTCTTCTCCCCAAGACACCAAAATCAAAACTAATTGAGCAACAACCATCAACAGAAAAGACTGGAACCTACCAAAGGAGATATGCTACATCAAAAGACAATGGAAAATGCACATGGGACTTCCCTGGTGGTCCAGTGGTTAAGACCCCACACATCCACTAGAGGGATGTGAGTTTGATTCCTGGTCGGGGAACTAAGATCTCACATCCCACATTCCATGTGATGTGGCTAAAAAATAATGGTAAATAAATAACAACAAAGTGTTGCTTTATTTTTAAGAAAAGAAACCATGAGATAGTAGGTGGGGTGCAGTCATGATACAATCAAATCCCATACCAGTCCACAAACTGAAAAATAATTATATCATAGAGGTTCTGCCATAGAAGTGAGTTCTGAGTCCTCAGCCTGGGGGTCTGGCACTGGGAGGAAGGACCCCAAGAAAAGCAAGCTTTGAAGACCAGCAGGGCTTCATTGCAAGAACTCCATGGGACTGGGGGAAATAAAAACTCCACTCTTGGAGGGTATACACAAACTCTCATGTGCACCAGGACCCAGGGAAAAAGCAGTGAATATTAGCCTTCATAGGAACTGGGCACGACCTACCTAAGGTCTTGGAGGGCCTCCTAGGGAAGTGGGGGTTGACTGTGGCACACTATGGGGACAAGGACACTGAAGATGAAGGTACCAGTGAGTATTCATTGGTGTGAGCTCTCCTAGAGGCTGCTATTTTGATACCAAGACCTGGCCCCATCCAACAGCCTGTAAGTTACACAGCTAGGACATCTCAGGCCAAACAACCAACAAGGCAAGGGCACAGTACCACTCATCAGCAGACAGACTGCTTAAAGTCCTTTAGAGCTATAGCCACTTTACATATATCCCTTAACAATACCAAGCCCATCAGAGAGACAAGACTCAGCCCCACCCACCAGTGGGAAGATACAAATCTCTCCCATCAGGAAGCCTTCACAAGCCTCTTAGACCAGCCTCACCTAAGCAGGGGGAAGTTGCAAGGAACAAGAGGAACTACAATCATGCAGCCTGTGGAATGAGACTGCAATCACAGGAAATTAGAAAACATAAGACAGCAGAGGAATACATGACAGATGAAGGAACAAAATAACCCCCTAGAAAAACAACTAAGTGAGGTGGAGATAAGCAATCTACTTGAAAAAGAATTCAAGCTAATGATAGAGAAAATGATACAAAATCTCAGAAAAAGTATAGAGGCATAGACCAAAAGATAGAAGAAATATTTAACAAAGAACTAAGAGATATGAAGAACAAACAGTTGAACAATAAAATAGCTGATATGAAAAATACACTAGGAGAAATCATTAGCAGAGTAAAGAGACAGAAAAAGGCATAAGTGAGCTGGGAGAAAGATTGGTGAAAATAACTTCCATGAACAGAATAAAGAAAAAAGAATGAAGTAAATGAGACAGTTTGAGAAAACTCTGAAACAACATTAACACATCAACATTCTCCTTTTAGGGGTCCCAGTAGAAGAGAATGAAAAAAGGCCTGAGAAAATATTTGAAGAGATAATAGCTG